AAAACGGCCACTGCCCCCTACAGCCGCCACACGAAATAGCCACCTGCCCTCATGGTCGCCCCACAAAATGGCCACTGCCCCCCGCAGCTGCCCCACAAAATGGCTGCCCACCCCCATGGCCGCCCCACACAGAGGCACAGACAGTCCCCGAGGCGCCATGCTTTATTCTGAGGGGTGGAGGGCACAGCAGGGGAGCTGGGGGAGACAAGGAAGACAAGGAGCGGGGATGGTGTTTGCAGACTGGCAGGGCCAGGCCAGGCAGCACTAGCAGGAGGTGAAGGTTTTCCAGAAGAAGTTCTTGCAGGGTGCCTTGCGCTCCCGCTGTGAGAGCTGGGCGAGCCGGCCCAGCACTGCCCGCTCCTCCTCCAGCTTGCCCTCCTCCTCCAGGTCCGGGGCGGCCGCCTCGCGCCCCACGTCCACGCTGTCCAGCAGGCCCGCCAGCATCTTCAGGATGGCGTCCTTCCGCACTGTGCTCTGTTCCTGCGGGCAGAGAGCAGGGAAAGTGGTACATGGAGGGCCTGTCCCCCACGGCCATCCAGGTCCCTTCGTGTCCCCCTGCCGTCCCTGGTGTCCTGCCCTGAGAGTCGATGTTTTTCCCATCAGCAGAGCTGTGCCAGAGCTGAGGGATCTGTTTCCCCAGAGGGCAGTGCTCCCATCTCCCCTCCCTGTCCAGCTCAGCCAGCTGGACCCTCACACTGGGTCCAGCTATGTGTCTATGCTATAGCTGGAAAAGAGCTGCTAACAAATAGGCTTGAATCAGCTGTGAAGTCCCTCGCTGCCGGCACTAATTAAATTTCAGTGAATGCCAAGCTGCTGCCTCCTCCCCTGGTCAGCCCGTGCTCCCTTCACTGCTCTGGCCGCCCAGCATCCGCCTTGGGAAGGTCAGGGAAAGAGGCACAGGGTCCTGGGAAGAGGCACAGAGTCCTGAGCAATATGAAATCAAGCTCACAAGGGGCTGTACCCCACTGTAAAATGAAATGCAACAAGGAGAGGGATGCCCCAAAATCTGGAGCAAAACATTGCATCAGCAGAGACAGGCAGCTGTATTTCTAGAACAAGAACCTGTGTTTCCATAGCCTGACCCTGGGGAAAGGTGGGATGAACTGGGAGCTGCTGAGCTCCCTCTGCTGTAGCAGAGCCCGTGTCTTGGGGCTTGAGGGATTTCCACCAGTACAAACTGTGAGTTATTGTGTTTCTCTTAACTTTACATCCAGCAAATCTGAGTAATTACCTGGTGCCTGAGCATTCCTGGTCTCTGTGGCTCATTAGAAGGGACAGCTGGTACTGGCCAAGCTGGGATCGATGGTTTGACAGGAACAAATCCTGTTTCCCATGCGGAAGGGAATTTTGGAAGCACATTTCCATGTCAGTCCTCACAAATGCCGTATTTACTGCTGGGACTGCTCTCTCTGTCAGCACCAGCATTCACTAAGGACCACTTGGAGAGCAACTCAAAAGATGGATAAATACAGGCAGCAGCAATTATCCTGAGTTTACATTACAGAAGGTTTATGGACATTTTTTAATCACTTTCTTAGCTCTAGTAACAACCCTTGCTTCCACACAAGGCACAGCAAAACCCCACGCTGTGTGTGTGGCAGAAGAGAAGGTACAGCCAGTGTGTGCTCGCTCTGATTCCTCCTCCTGTGCTGCAAGTACAGAAGTGCCTTGAGCCTCTGGGAGACAGGCTGGGACAGGGGAACCCCCTGAGTGTGTCTCCTGGATCATGTCTTCCTCGGAAGCTTCTTTCCTAGCTCTAAGTGCTGTGTTTGTTTGGAAACAACCTGCTCTGAGCAGAGCCAGTGGCCTCAGACTGAGGGGTGGGGAAGGCAAAGCCCAGCCCGTGTTAGGGGATATTCCTTCTGCCTGATCGGCTGTGGCTGTCAGTGAAACCTGGCAGCTCTCCCCTGCACTAATCCACTGCTCACATCCTCTCTGCCTGCAGCTGTGCTCCAAGAGATCCACGCTCTCAGGGAGCAGTTTGACATCTCAGCACGGTGGGCTGGGGCAAACCTTTGGGGAGCTGCTCCCTTCCCTGTGCTCCATCCGTCAGTGCATCAGAGGGAACACATCTT